TCGAGCGGTGATTGGTGGGTTTGGAACGGCGAGCGGTGATTGACGGGAGAGGGGAAAGGGAGGCGGGAGTTGCTGAGGTGAATCGAGCGGTGATTGGTGGGTTTGGTACGGGGAGCGGTGATTGACAGGAGAGGGGAAGGGAGGAGGGAGTTGCTGAGGTGAATCGAGCGGTGATTGGCGGGTTTGGTAGGGGGAGCGGTGATTTACAGCAGAGGGGAAAGGGAGGCGGGAGTTGCTGAGGGGAGACGCGCGCTGATTGGCTGGTTCCAAAAAAGGGTGGCGGGAGTCCCTGAGGGGAGACGCGCGGTCATTGGTTGATTTGGGAAAGGGAGAGGCGGGAGTTGCTGAGGGGAGACGCGCGGTGATTGGTTGATTTGGGAAAGGGAGAGGCGGGAGTTGCTGAGGGGAGGCGAGCGGTGATTGGCTGGTTCTAAAAAAGAGTGGCAGGAGTCCCTGAGGGGAGATGTGCGGTGATTGGTTGATTTGGGAAAGGGAGAGGCGGGAGTTGCTGAGGGGAGACGCGCGCTGATTGGCTGGTTCCAAAAAAGGGTGGCGGGAGTCCCTGAGGGGAGACGCGCGGTGATTGGTTGGTTCCAAAAAAGGGTGGCAGGAGTCCCTGAGGGGAGACGCGTGGTGATTGGTTGATTTGGGAAAAGGAGAGGCGGGAGTTGCTGAGGTAAATCGAGCGGTGATTGGTGGGTTTGGAACGGTGAGCGGTGATTGACAAGCGAGGGGAAAGGGAGGCGGGAGTTGCTGAGGGGAGACGCGCGCTGATTGGCTGGTTCTAAAAAAGGGTGGCAGGAGTTCCTGAGGGGAGACGCGTAGTGATTGGTTGGTTCCAGGGAAGGGAGGCGGGAGTTGCTGAGGCGAGACGCGCGGTGATTGGTTGGTTCCAAAAAAGGGAGGCGGGTGCTGCTGAGGGAAGACGAGCGGTGATTGGTTGCTTTGGGGCGGTGCGCGCCGCTATTGGCTGGGAAAAGCCCGGGATTTTTATTGGAACATTCCTGTTTTTTGGGGGGAAAATTCCCAGATTTTTTGGGAAAAGTTCCCGTTTTTTGGAGGGGGAACACTCACTGAATTTTTACTCCAAATGACCCCAAATAACCCAAATAACTCCAAATAAACCCCAAATAACACCCCCGAAACCCAAACAATACTTAAAAAAACCCTAATAACCCCAAACAAATCCAAATAAACCCAAATTAAACCCAAATAACCCCCCAAAAAATCACTCAAAACCCCAAATAAACTCCAAATTAATCCCAAATAAACCAAATTAAAGCCAAAATAATTCCTAAATAACCCCAAATAAATCCCAAATAATCCTTAAATAAACCCAAATAAACCCCAAATAACCCCAGTTCCTTCCGTACCCACCCCAAAACAGATCCTGGCCAATCAGAGCGCATGGCGCTGATGACGACACAGTTGCTGGGCAGAAACTCAGGGAAGGAACCCCGCTCTGCGATTTTCAGCCAATCAGCGCCCGGCGCGGCTCTGACTCATCAGTTGCCGGGCAGAACCAGGCGGTTCAGACAGCGCTAGCCAATCAGCGTCCGCGAGGGGCAATTTCCAGCCAATCAGAGCGTTTGCAGCTGATGCCTCACCAGTTGCCAGGAGGGGAATTTGGGGAGGGGACCCCAAATTAAAGCAAAGGGGGGTCGGGACCCCCAGAACGGAGCAGGAGGGGCCTGGGACCCCCAAAACCAAAAGGGGGAGGGGATTGGGGGAACGATGGGGAAGGGCCGGGAGAGCGAGGGAAAGAGGGGGATGGGACCCCAAAATTAGATTCTCAGCCAATCAGCGCCCGGAGCGGCTCTGACTCAACAGTTGCCGGGCAGAACCAGGCGGTTCAGACAGCGCTAGCCAATCAGCGTCCGCGAGAGGCAATTTCCAGCCAATCAGAGCGTTTGCAGCTGATGCCTCATCAGTTGCCAGGAGGGGAATTTGGGGAGGGGACCCCAAATTAAAGCAAAGGGGGGTCGGGACCCCCAGAACGGAGCAGGAGGGGCCTGGGACCCCCAAAACCAAAAGGGGGAGGGGATTGGGGGAACGATGGGGAAGGGCCGGGAGAGCGAGGGAAAGAGGGGGATGGGACCCCAAAAATTGAGCAGGGACCCCAAAATTGAGCTGGAAAGGGGATGGGACCCCAAAATTGAGCAGGGAGGGGGATGGGACCCCAATATTGAGATGGGAATGGGATGAGACTCCAAAATTGAGCAGGGAGTGGCATGGGACCCCAAAATTGAGATGGGACCCCAAAATTGAGCTGGAAATGGGATGGGACCCCAAAATTGAGCAGGGACCCCAAAATTGAGCAGGGAGTGGCATGGGACCCCAAAATTGAGATGGGACCCCAAAATTGAGCTGGAAATGGGATGGGACCCCAAAATTGAGCAGGGACCCCAAAATTGAGCAGGGAGTGGCATGGGACCCCAAAATTGTGCAGGGACCCGAAAATTGAGCTGGGAGGGGGATTGGACCCCAAAATTGAGCTGGGAAGGGACCCCAAAATTGAGCTGGGACCCCAAAAAGAATGATGCCAACTTCATTCCTGGAATATGCAAATTAGCTTATGGGTATGCAAAAGTGTCTATGAATATGCAACAGGCTGATGGCAGAGGAGACAAGGACCATGGAGCAGAGGCTGTTAAGGACACCAAGAGAACTTTCAGGAGGTAAATTAAAATACGTTTTACATTTTAAATTAAAACGCGTTTTAATTGCATCAGCCTGTCGCATATTCATAGACCTTTATGCAAATCCATGAACTGATTTACATATTGCAGGAAGTGTTTTACATGGCCCCTCCTTGGGGGTGTTTCCTAAGGAAGGCGGGAGCCTCACACGGAAGGGAAAATGCAAAACCCCTCCCTATTAATTATTATCATTATAATTGGGAAATTAAGGCAAAGATAAGGAATAACAGCTCTTTATCAGGAAAAATTAAAAGTACAAATGCAATAGTACAAAAAAAAAACACCCCAGAGACCTGTGGGAATCCAGAGGGGACAGGGCTGATTAAATGGGAATCCAGTGGGAAAAGGGCTGAGCCAATGGGAATCCAGTGGGGAAAGGGCTGAGCCAATGGGAATCCAGTGGGAAAAGGGCTGAGCCAATGGGAATCCAGTGGGAAAGGATTGATCCAATGGGAATCCAGTGGGAAAAGGGCTGATCCAATGGGAATCCAGTGGGGAAAGGGCTGAGCCAATGGGAATCCAGTGGGAAAAGGGCTGATCCAATGGGAATCCAGTGGGAAAAGGACTGAGCCAATGGGAATCCAGTGGGGAAAGGGCTGAGCCAATGGGAATCCAGTGGGAAAAGGGCTGAGCCAATGGGAATCCAGTGGGGAAAGGACTGAGCCAATGGGAATCCAGTGGGGAAAGGACTGAGCCAATGGGAATCCATTGGGAAAGGGCTGATCCAATGGGAATCCAGTGGGAAAAGGGCTGATCCAATGGGAATCCAGTGGGAAAAGGGCTGATCCAATGGGAACCCAGTGGGAAAGGATTGATCCAATGGGAATCCAGTGAGAAAAGGGCTGATCCAATGGGAAGCCAGTAGGAAAAGGGCTGATCCAATGGGAATCCAGTGGGGAAAGGGCTGAGCCAATGGGAATCCAGTGGGAAAAGGGCTGAGCCAATGGGAATCCAGTGGGGAAGGGCTGAGCCAATGGGAATCCAGTAGGAAAAGGGATGGTCCAATGGGAATCCAGTGGGTAAAGGGCTGAGCCAATGGGAATCCAGTGGGAAAAGGGCTGATCCAATGGGAATCCAGTGGGAAAAGGGCTGGTCCAATGAGAATCCATTGCGAAAAGTCTGATTCCCTAAGAATCCAGTGGAAAATACTGATCTTCTGGGAATCCACTGTGAAAAGGGATGATCCAATGAGAATCCAGTAGGAAAAAGGCTGATCCAATGGGAATCCAGTGGAAATTTTTGATCTTCTGGGAATCCAGTGGGAAAAGGGCTGATCCAATGGGAATCCAGTGGGAAAAGCCTGCTCCAACTGGAATCCATTGAGGAAAGGCTGCTCAGATTCCATCCACCGAGGAATCCCTGGCTCCTCCCCCAGGGCGGAGCATCTCCCAATGGGATGATGTCATTTTATCAGCCAGGCATTGGCACTCAAAGTCCCATTAACACCAGATAATTAATAAACAATGGCCCACAGACAGAAGCTATCTCCTGGAGGGAGGACTGGTTGAGGAAGAGATAAACTGCCCAAAGAAGAGAAGAGAAGTGCCCCACCTCTGACAGATGGCAGACAGAACACACACTTAGCTTGCAATCCAGGACATGTCCTCACTGGCTGCCCCCATTCTCCAGAGTCCATGGTGGCCAGGGAGGCTGCAGCTGCCGGTGCCGCGAACAAACCAGACGGGTCTTGGTTTCAGAAAGCTCCAGAATCCATTTCTTACCCCCAAAAGACAGAGCAAACTCAGGGCCATGGGGATTTTAAAGGGCATCCCAGGGGTGGAGTAAGGCTTTGGGTCAAGGGAGGAGTTATCACCATTCCCCCTCAAAACCGTCTGAAATGGAGCAACTTTTATATATAAGTTCAATCAATGTCCTTCATTTAACCCACTTTTTGCTGTTCTTAAGCTATAAACATGCAGCGGGAAAAAAATTAAGGCCAAAGCAAAAGGAGGAGCAGCCAGGTGTGTTCCCAGCATGGATCACAGGGAATGTGGGTCAGCAGGGCTGTGCCCAGCGTGGGTCCTGCAACTTCATATAAGTTCAATCAATGTCCTTCATTTAACCCACTTTTTGCTGTTCTTAAGCTATAAACATGCAGCGGGAAAAAAATTAAGGCCAAAGCAAAAGGAGGAGCAGCCAGGTGTGTTCCCAGCATGGATCACAGGGAATGTGGGTCAGCAGGGCTGTGCCCAGCGTGGGTCCTGCAGTGGGGGATGGAGCTGGAGCAGCGCACGAAGCTCTTCCCGCACTCGGGGCACTCGCAGGGCTTCCCTCACCGGTGCCTCCGTTGGTGTTGGGACAGGGTAGAGCTCTGGGAGAAGCTCTTCCCACACTCCCCACACTCGTAGGGCCTCTCCCCAGTGTGGATGCGCCGGTGCCTGACGAGGTGGGAGTTGTGCTTGAATCCCTTCCCGCAGTCGGGGCACCTGAAGGGCCTCTCCTCTGTGTGACTCTGATAGTGCTGCAGGAGATGGGAGCTGGTCTGAAACCTCTTCCTGCATTTATCACACTCGTAGGGCCTCTCCCCAGTGTGGATGCGCCGGTGGGCGATGAGGTTGGAGTTGCACGTGAATCCCTTCCCGCAGTCGGGGCAGCAGTAGGGCCTCTCCTCTGTGTGAATCCGACAGTGCAGGACGAGATGGGAGCCGGTCTTAAACCTCTTCCTGCATTTACCACACTCGTACGGCCTCTCCCCAGTGTGGATCCTCTGGTGTTCAATGAGTTTGGAGCTAGCGCGGAATCTTTTCCCACACTCCCCACACTCGTAGGGTCTCTCCCCAGTGTGGATCCTCAGGTGCTTGCTCAGGTCAGAGCTGTCTCTGAAGCTCTTTCCACACTCCCCACACTCGTAGGGTCTCTCCCCAGTGTGGATCCTCAGGTGCTTGCTCAGGTCAGAGCTCTGTCTGAAGCTCTTTCCACACTCCCCACACTCGTAGGGCCTCTCCTCCGTGTGGATTCTCTGGTGGCTGATCAGGTGGGAGCTCCGTTTGAAGCTCTTCCCACACTCTCCACACTCA